GAGACATTGCAGAAAATGCAGAGCAGGAATCAGCAATGACGCCATTGGAGGATGCCTGCGGGGCTCAGATGCCACTGCTCCTTAGTTTGCTCACCCGTAAAATGGGGATAATGGTACTAACCTCATAAATGAGCTAGAACAGGGACCAGCATTTAGGAAACTGCTCTTGTAATTACCAGTGGCCCTAGAAACCACCATGCACCTGACCCACCTCTTCATCCCAACATTAGCAGCCTGACCTTGTACACCTCTCCCTCCCTCTGGGCTCACCTCTCAGAGCAGAGACCTGCCTCACGCCCCTCTGAGCCCCCTCAGCACTTCACACCATTCTTCAAAGTTACTGCTGAATGAATCGAATGAAAAATTGTTCTCTGGCAGGAAAAGATTGCGATCCACCTGCAGAAAGAGCTTTACCCCGTCTCCAAACCCAGGCTTTAGCCCCCTGGAAGCCCTCAGCCTGACTTATTTTTGGATGGTGTCTCCAGAATGTCAAAATAGCTCCCCCTGCACAAGTGGAAGGATTCCTATCCCAGATCCTCAAGCCAATCTGAGCCGTCACTACATTCTTGTAACGCGTGGAGGAGGAAGCAATGAAAAGCACATTTTTTGAAGTGGCGGAGCTCACTGTCTCCAAATCACTTGGTGGCCTCGGAGCCTGTTGCTGTAGAGTAGATCATAATTCTCTAGGTAAATATCGGGACAGGATGCCTTCTAGCAACATTCTTTGACAGATAAGAGAGAAGCAAAGTGCAGGGGAAGAGAACAAGTTAGGGTGTCACTCCAAGCTGCCCTGGTCTGACTTAGAAGTTGGGTCCTCCTTTGTTCTTCCAAACGGGTAATTCATGATCTCTAACTGCATCAGAAACCACAGCTGGCCAGTTTGGGGCAAGGTTTGTGGACAGAGAGAGGTGAGGCTTTGGGTGATCTTGGGCACATCACTTTACCTCTGGAATTCGTTCATCAAGCAAAGATCAGAACTAGGTCCTTTTTAACCCCAAATTTCTAAATCTAGGTTATTCTGCGAAGATTCCTTCAGCTGCCAAGTCTCCATTTAGGATGGCATTTTGGAAATTGGCCACTAGAGGCCGCTGTGAATACAGTTTGGCCTTAGAGCTTCTTCAAAAGGCAGAAGTCTACCCTGGCCTTCCATGATGCTAAGCCAGGCCTGCCACCCTAGGAGGCAGAAAACCAGCCACTCAGACTTCTTCTGGCCAGAATTGAGGAGGTGCTCTCTGTCAGGAGGCCGGCCAGCGCCCCTTCCTGGGTACTGGATCGGGTGGTGGAGAAGCCTTGTTCATGGAAGGTGGGGTGAGCCCGTGCGACCAGGCCTGATTCTGTAGCATGCCTCATCATAAAGGGACAATTCCCCCCAACCGCTTAATGTTCCACTTCACAGTTGAATTCCTTTATTCAACAACTAGAGGCCCAACCCACGAAATTTGTGCAAGAGTCGGCCTTCCTTCCCCTGGCTGCTGGCACCGGCTTTCCTCCGGCACCCGGGATCCGGGCTTCCCTCGCAGCCCTGGCTTCGTCTGTTAGCATATTAGGTTTTTATTATTATAGATAACTCTGGAGCCCCTCTTTTGTGCCCAGCAACAGCCCATGTTTTCATGGAACCAAGGAAAGTCAGCCAGAAGGAAACTTATAAGAAAACAAGTTATTGTTGCCCTTTCTCTGTTCCATGGTTCATAGAACCTTCTTATATATTTTTTTTCCTCTTAATCCTCCAAACCACCCTCTGAGGTTGGCAGGTGAGCAAACTGAGGACCAAAAGCAAGTAGCACAGAGCCTTGTACAGGGCTGCTTAGCTAGTAAAAGGCACCCCAAGTTCAGCCCCTGTATCTCCTCCTTTGATATATGGAGGAAAATGTGCAGAGGAAAAATGATCCAGTGGTGGGGCTGGGGTTAGAATTGAATCTCCTGCCTCGCAGGCTGGGCTGGCAGACCGACTGCTCTGTCCCAGGCGTCCCCAGGCCAGGCCGCTGGGAAGCCCCAGCCCTGGCTGTTCCCAAGCGCTTCCAAGCAGAGCCTGCACCAGGCCTGCCCTGGCCCGGCGGGACGGAGCCGGGAGGGAGGGGGCACAAATGACCCTGATCAGTGTGTTTATTGGATCATAACTATTAGCCTCACCACTCAGCTAATCGCATAGAAATCACTTTCCTCTCCGGGAGGATCTGGCCGCAGCTCCATTAAAAGCTGCTCGGCCGGTACCTGCGAGGAATCTGCACGGCAGAGGCGGCGGGGGAGGGAGAAGCAATATTTCTGCTTCCTCATTACGCTGACTGACGGGGAAAATGGCCATTTCACATTCACCGTATAAGAAAAGCCCCCAAGGGAAAGGGAATCCGAGGCCCGCAATTGTCTTTTGGCAACATTCGGCTCTAAGAGAAAATGATTTTCTTTGTGACTCCCTTTTTGAAAGCATTTGTGATGCTATTAAAGATAAAACAAGAAAAGGGAAGGAACTGGAGACTGGGGAGCACACCGGGTGCCAGGCTGGTCCGTGTATTCCTCTTGGTCCTCTCCGACGGCCTGTGAACAGGCAGCACAGTGTCCATTTCATGAAGGCTCCCGGGGCAGGGCTGAGCTTCGAGCTTGGGGCCTGCTGTAACCCTGTCATTCCCTGAACTCCCATCGGAGCGGTTTCCTTACCTTTCTTTGCTGCCCCCTCCAGCCCCAGAAAATATGGAAACTGGTTTTCAAGCCAGATCACTGTTTGACCTTCACAACCTTTCCCAAGTCTCTGTTCTTCCATCTGCAGAGTGAGGAGCCCAGACAAGAGGGATCCCTCTGGTCTACACTTGGATGATTTCCTGCCCAGCCAGTATGGCTCAGTGGTTGAGCGTCAACCTATGAACCAGGAGGTCACAGTTCAATTTCCGGGTCAGGGTTGTGGGCTTGGTCCCAACTGTGCAGGAGGCAGCCGGCCAATGGTTCTCATCGTTGATGAATCTATCTATCTCTCCCTCTCCCTTCCTCTCTGAAAGCAATAAAAATATATTTAAAAAATGTGTATATTTAAACTTGGACAATTTCCTAATGCTATTTTTCTTCCAGGTAACTCCCAGCACACCTTCATCTCATACCACTTGGAGGGGATGGTGGTATGGGTATTATTATCCCCATTTATAAAGCTGGGGGAAGCTGAGGAGCAGATACAATGAGGGGTTCAAGGTCACTACATGAGCGGAAAGACAACCGCACTCTGCCTTGTGCCCCCAGGCAGGCGGGCAGGCGGCCCTGAGGCTGTCAGCAGCAGCTCCCACAGCCCAACCCTGACCTCGCCCTGGCTCCTTCCTGATAGATTATCAGAGAACTGGGGACACATACTTCCGTAATCAGGGCAACTTTCCTTAGCCAGGGGTGGAGGAGGCCATATGTGAAGTGTGTCTGATGAGCTCCCGTTCCAGTGCAGGGGGGGCCGAGAGGTAAGAAAGCCAGGAAGTCATGGCCGGCTGAGACGCAGGCGCTCGGGGGCAGGGCAAGCAGCTTGGCACGAACATGATGTTAGAGCTTAAAACAAGTGTTTCAGCCCTGGCCGGTGGCTCAGACAGTGGGGTGTTGTTTCGCCCCACCATCTGAGGCTGCGGGTCTGATTTCTGGTCAAGGTGCATACCTAGGTTGCAGGTTTGAGCCCCGGTCAGGGCGCATGCAGGAGTCAACTGATCAATGTTTCTCTCTCCCCTCCCCTCCCCACTTCCTATCTCTAAACAGACCAATAAAAACATGTCCTTGGCCGAGGATTAGGGAAAAAAAGTGTCTCACCCACAGTGTCTTTCGGGCTGCCCCAGTGCAGGTGCAGCCAGGAGAAATGCTAAGGAGCAGCAATGACAGGATCTGAGGGTGGCGTGAACCCTGACTCCCACCCATCAGCCCAGGTGGGGAGGGGCAGGAAGTCCGGAGACCTAGGCCCCTCAGCACCTGTGGCAGGGGAGGAGAGGGAGGGGCTTCTGGGACTAGAATTGGTCAAGGCCTCCCAGGTGAAGTCAGCCTCCGTCGCACCCAGGCCTGAGCAGGCCAATCAGGGAGGCGGCAAGTATGTCGGTGGGAGGCTGGGCCTTCAGGGAGGGACTCGGCTTTTACGCTCCTAAAGAAATGTGAGGACTTATCCTCTCCTATAGTTCCCAAGATGCCCAAACAAGAGGAAATGGGCTTATATCAAGTGGAGAGAGAGAGAGTTCAGGAGGCCCAAGAGCAGACTGGCTGACTGGGGGGTGATTATTCAGATGTAATGAAATCTGGCTACAAGAGAGGGGGGCTGAGGCCTGGGAAGGGCCAGGCTTTGCAGGACCAAGGTCTTCAGGGTACACCCTGCTGCGGGGAAGAGGAGAAATCTACCTAAGAGAAGTGTTTTGGGGATTCAGTGGAAGGAGAAACACAGTCAGTTGGGAGAATTCAGACTAGCTTCTTGGAAGAGACGGTACCTGGGAGATGGGTGGGATTGGGGCCCGGCAGTGAGAAGTGGCAGGAGGAAAGGCCAGGCAACCAGCGTGGCTGGTGCCCGTTGGTGAGAAGCCGGTGGTGGGGGTGGGGAGCTGTGTAGGCACCTCGGCGCTGACTGGAAGGCCCAGAGGTGGCACAGCAGAAATTTAAGGGGGCCCATCCCTTGAAAGAGCTGCAGAGGAGAAAGGACCCGGAGACTGCTTTAATCAGAGCTCCTGTCTGTTTTTATCTGTAGTTGCGGCTTCTTAGCAAAGTAACTGGGCAACTTTCTCTCCCTCTTTAGGACTCCGTTTCCAGATCTATAGAATCCAGGTGAGTTGATTATCTTTAAAGTCCTCGGCAGCACTGAGGTTTCTAATCCCACAGCTAACAATGCCCAGCTAAATGCTGGGTTAAATGCGGGGTAGGGTGTGTGTGTGTGTGGGGGGGGGGTGATGATGGTGGTGACAGACTGTGACCTCCATGTTGGACATAGTGCCAAGTGGAAGGTCAAGGCACTGAGCACAGATCATGGGGTGCTGGCCTGTGGACTTGTGAGGGTCGGGGCCTGGGCCTTAATGGCGGACACTGAGGCTCCTGGACAGGCCCTGAGTGAGGACTGGAAGGAGCAGAAGGTATCGGTCTCCACCAGCAGCCTTGGACCCGCGGAGTCCTGGTTTGCATCCCATCACTGCCACTTACCTGTGTGGGCCGGGCAAGTTAAGGTACTGAACTACTTCCCACATTTAAGATGGAGCAGACAACACCCATTATCTACACATTCCTAGGAGATAAACAAAGCCAGTGCTCCACCCCCAATGGACAGTGAGGGGCAGAGGAAGACGGGATTAAGTGAGAGGGGTCAGGGAAAGATCGAGACGGAAGCCAGGGAGGGTCCCAGGCATGGGAGTGCCACAGCCTGCCCTGGTTGGTGTGAAGATTCCAGCAGCCGGATGTAAGGGCAGGGAGGCCTTGCTGTCTTGGAAAAACATGAGTTGCCGGAAGGAAAAGGAGGGCACGAGAGGTGAGAGAGGAAGCCAGTGGCCACTGGGCCTCAGCCAGATGCGAGAGCGGGCGAGGGTGGGAGAGGCAGATACCAGAAGTAGGAAGGGCTTCCCTCTGTCCAGATGAGGCATGGACCGAGCTGGCTGGTGCTCTGATCTGGAAGAAGAGGAAGGGAGGGGCCGTGTGGGGTTCCAGTTGGGATGGTGGGGCACCTGGCAGCGAGACTGCCCCCTCCAGGAGGAATGGGGCCCGGGTGTGTGGGGAGCCCTGTGGTTGACTGTTGGCTCTTCCTCTACCCAACAGCTCATGGCTTCTCCCACACCTGTCCATCCTCACGGCTCTGGGTACCTGACCTGCTGCTATTAGTGGAGTTTCTTATCAAGGGAAGAGTCGGGTGATCTTGAGTGCATCGCTCTAAGCTTTTTAGTGAAAGAACGGGGTTAGCCTACATGGTCTCCAACCAAGCCCCTTCTAGCATTTCTGCTAATGGGTGGAATCAGACACTGCATCTCACCACTTCCCACTATCGGGTGGTTTCAGGTTCCGCCATGCCCTCTGTCTTTCCTGCTCTCCGGGGCTGCCATGGATGGTGTGCAGGGTGGTCACAGCACAAGGATGACTGCCCAGGGAGCAAGGGGAGGCCCCATTCCAGCCCGCACTCTGCCCCACACGTTGCATTTACCCAGAGCAAAGAACACCTTCTTCTAGTTTGTTCTAAGGTGAAGTATGGGCAGCCCCCACGCCCCTGTCCCATCCACATTTCTTCCTCTCTTCTGTGTCCCTTTCCACCTGCCCTCCCCAGCCTCCGACAGGACCCAAGGGCAGCGTGCACAGGGCGCCTGGCGGGAGGCAGCAGCTGCTGCGGGGGCCTGGTGCTTTTCCTCTCCTTAGCGATGCGGAGAGCGGCCTCTCCAAATTGCTCCGCCGTCATTAACACCGCGGTCAGGTCAGATGAGAGCGTGTTTGCATCTTGGAGGCAAAGGCAAAACGCTGATGCTGATTATTCCAGATCTTCTGGGCATGGGCCATTCCGTGCTCCCAGTTCTTAATCAGGGGGGGACAGTGCTGGTCACATGGCGGGGTGGGCCAAGGCCCTGCTTAGTTCTAATCTGGACGAGCACCTGCTGGCCTGCCTGGACATCGCAGGTGACCTCAGTTATATCCCTCAAAGGAGAAATGACCCCCACCACCCCCCCAGTGGCAATGCCAGGGGCTGCTTTCCAACCAGGGCCATTTTGCCTGGGCCTGACCAGCAAGTTGTGTCCCGGGCTCACTGGGTGGTCATGTAGTTGAGTATCTTTGAGAACAGCCCTCCCCCAGTGTCCCCTTCCGAGAAGCCTCTGCCTGAAGGAGGTCAAGGCCTGCAGCCTGCAGCATGGCCCTCACCTCTTGGCCTCCTGGTCTCCCGCTGTGACCTCACCCCATGCTCCGGCCACATCGGGGTCCCCAAACCCAGCTCCCTAGCCCTCCATCTGCCGGTTCTCCGCCAGGAGACCCTGCGCAGCCTTGTCCTCCAGCAGCAGTCTGTCTCTGCAGCAGCCAGCGTCCTGTCGCTGCCTCGCCTTGGCCTCTGCAGTGCACCCCAGCCCCACACCCACCTGCCAGCGCCCGCGTGTCTTTACCGGAAGTTTCCCCTGGCTTCTGGAACCTAATGGCCACTCTGTGCTGGTCAGACCGGAAGTGCCAGGGAATGGCCGTCCGGAAGCAGCCCTCGGTCACTGAGCCAGTGCCTGACATCAGTTGATGTCTGCACCCCCTGCTCCCTCGCCCTCTGGCGGGTTAAGATTGAGACAGTTCTCATCCTCATGGGGATGAGCCCTGGTGCCCACAGCGCTAACTGGCTGCTAAACCCTCACTGGCTGCCTTCCCCGTCTCACCTCCCCACTCCCCACATAGCATGTCCTGAGTCTCCCCAATAAACTGCCCGCATTCAAATCTTTCTCTCAGGGTCTGCTTCTCGGGAAACCAAACAGACATCATCTTCAATGCCCTCCTCAATATCCGTTTTGTAGTTTACCCTGACACCCGCTGTTTCCACTCCTGGGAGAGTCATTGGTCACGCTTCTCTCCTCTGAGGGCCCTTAACACCTCAACGGCACTCCTCATGCGGCACCGAGGCTGACCTGCATGTGTGTCCTGGGCCCCCGCAGGGAACTCTTTGGAGACAGCTACTGCTCTTTTCCCGTCTTTATTCTCTGAGCCTAGGACGGTGCCTGGCACAGAGCAGGCACCTAATGCACTTTTCACCAAAGAGCCAGCAGTGGGAATGCAATGACTGAGGGACTGGAGAGAGACACGTCCAGAATCTTTCTAGAATGAGACCCAGGGGCTGCTACCCCAGATCTGTCGCATTACAAGTTTACGTGGTAGAACTTCAGTTTCCCCAACTACCTGCTGAGCAACCTGCAGTGGCTCCCTATTTTTGTCCTCCCCAAGAGGGCTAATGTCACAGATGGCTTTTAAGACCTCCATTACCTGGCCCCATCCAAAGAGGCACTCAAGTCTCCTGTTCAGAGTCCGGCTTTGGTCTCAATGGCCTGAGTGCAAATTCTCACTCTGCCAAGTTCCCAGGTGGGTGGTCGTGGTCAAGCTATGCAGCCTCTCTGGGCACTGGCTGCCTTACTTATTAAATGTAGGTAATAATACCACATATCTGCCATTATTTTTTATTTTTAATTTTTTAACGATCCACCCTTTTTACTTGCAAAGTGTGAACAGAAAACTACTATATTTCTCTAGGACATTTACATACCTGCCATTATTTTGAGAATTTAACAGTGAATACTAAAACCCACTGAACTGTATGCATATTTTATTTTATTAACACATATTTTTATTGATTTTAGAGAGGAAGGGAGAGGAAGAGAAAGATAGAAGCATAAATGATGAGAGAGAATCATTGATCAGCTGCCTCCTGCACACCCCACACTGGGGATCGAGCCCGCAACCCAGGCATGTGCCCAGACTGGGAATCAAACCATGACCTCCTGGTTCATAGGTCAATGCTCAATCACTGACCACGCTGGCCAGCCCAAACTATACACTTTAAAACAGTGAATTTTATGTTATGTGAATAATATCTTTTAAAAAAAAGTAAGTATGGTGTCTGGCCCAGGGTAGCCTCTTTGAAAATATAGGGGTGTACAAAAGGAGGTTTACAGTTGTGAGTATGGAAACACAGAGTTTATTCTTGTATTGCTTATTAATTATCATATTATTTCTTTGTATTACAACTGTAAACCTACTTTTGCCCACCCCTGAATGATAGTGGTTATCCTTGCTCTCGAGGAAGTTTCTCAGGTGGCCCTGGCACAGGCCGGGCACGCAGCAGAAACTCAGTAAACACTAGAGGGTGAGTGCATGATGCATTCCACAGCGTGTTTGGTCTAGGATGGGGAGGTGGGATAAAGGAGTGGACAGAGGATTCCACGCCCAGTTCGCATCCCTCAGGAAAAGGCCCAAATTATTCCCCAGGTGGCCTTCCCACCCAGCTGTGCCCACTGCCCTGGGAATGCCAGGCCTCTGCCCCTTGCTGTCGGTGCAGGTGGCTGAACTGAGTCCAGCCAACACCGAGCCGACACCAGCCGACACCAGCTGACACCGTGCCATGGGAAGGAAAAACACAACCCAGGCTGAGGAAAGCCTTATGTGTATGTCTGACTTTGTATCTGATGTTTGGGGAATTGACTTCAAACAGAATCTCCACGAAGCAGTGAAGGCCCTGCTGCCAAAGCCAAGGCCCAGAGGAGGTGGCCTTTCGGGGTCCAGCCTGGGCTCCTGGACTCCCCAGCGGCTTCTGGGCACAGAGGGCATGGGGCCAAGCTCTCCATCCCGGTGGGCGCGGAGGAGGCCGCTCCATCTCTGCAAAGCCCAGGCCCGCTGCGGAGGGGCTGCGAGGGCTTTTTCTGGAGACCGTCCAGGAGCTCAGCCCCGGGCATGGCCACAGC